GATATACATGATACTCAACCAGGCAAAACCCAACCTACCTCACAACACTGGAATCACGTGACCTCATTGTCTGCCTGACATCATCCCCTAAGATTCACTTGCATTTTTCAGGTCTCTGTCACTCGCACCCACTTTCTGTCTATATTTACAGTTATTTTCAACCCGTGTGTTTGAAATGATCAAGCTCCCAGGACCGAAACGTTTTCAATAAATATGCCTTAGTGTTTGCTCACGTATCTTTTTAAACTAAATATAATAACAGTCAGCAGCGAGGCGCGTTAGTGCGAAGACTGTATTTGTATCTGACCCAAGAATGTTAAGAGCTGTTGCTGACACTAAGCCCTGGTAGTTTTTAGGTTATGGTTTTGCTGTGTGTGATAGAACTGAAGGGCTCAGCCAGGACCAGAGGCTGACGTAACACGAGTTCATCTCATATTATGAATAGTATTCAATACCGACAGATTGATGGGTAATGCGTGTGTAATGATGAGACGTCTCGCCTGCACTGTGGGCTTCATCAGTCGTACACACACACATGAATTGCAATCCTGGAGACAGTAGAAGTCTGAAGCCTACAGTGCAGGCGAAACCTTTCGTCAATAAAGACACCTAGTGATGCATTTTTGTCTTATCAGACGTTTTTTTTTCTGCAGTGAAGCACAGCGCTCTGTACAATACTATATAGAGGAGCTTTTTAAGAGTGTATATACTAACCAGAAAGTTATACAGTACAGTGAACACCTGTGCTGTGTTAGGTACCTATATTAGTGAACCGTTTCGCATCTCACTCTTCCGAAGTCTGATTAATGAAGCTTGATCAATTAATTGGTGTGATGGGCGAAACTTGCATTTAATAAAGTTAAGCAACGTTGTGCCCGTCCCTTTTGCATAACAATTAATTTCATGGGGAATCGCTAAATCTGTATGGGTTACAGAACGTTTCGAAAAAGGGAGGCATTAAGGTTCGATCCAAGGAATGCAAGGAGGGTAGCTGTAGATGAATGGTTCAAAGAACCGACACGTTGTTAAATTAGAACATGTGCAACTCTTGGGTATCTTTACTGAGGAAACGTTTCGCCACACAGTAGCTTCATCAGTCCATACAAAGGATAAACTTGGAGAACAGGATGAGAATGAGGTAATCAGTCCCTCAACCTTGAGTCGATGTGGTCAGTCCATCAATCTTGAATAGAATACGGCATATGAGCGGAGAAGCAGCTTATAAACCTGCCAAGAATTTCACATCTCTGTTTTTAACTTCCAGTTGTGATCTCGTGTACTTGAGACTCGCCTGTCAAACAATCTGCTCTGCCGGACCACCCTGCCAAGTCCTCACAATATTTTGTACGTTTTTTTGTTCTCTAGTATCGTCATGTTTAGCTCCTCTAGGTTCTCATAGCTCATACTCCTCAGATCTGGGACTAATCTTGTTGCAGATATCTGCACTTTTTTCAGATTCTTGATACACTATCAGATGGGTGCTTCATACTGGCGCATGACTTGGTCTAACAATGCCCTTCAATTATATCACCGCCTTGATTTTTAGCTCTCACAGTTTTCTTACCCAAAATTAATAGTGGTTGATTTACGCACCAGTACATTGTCCAGTTTTTATTTCTAACTTGTGTGCTTGTGATGATGCGTGCATTCACTTTCTTAAATTTTTTTGGGAAATAGCAAGTCTTCAAACTGCGTTACAAAACAGTATGTCTGGGCAAATGTGGAAAACTTTTCCCTCAATATTGCTGCCCAGTTGCATGCTCGGACTGACAATCCTCGTAAAAGCTATTTTAGTGAGTGAAAATACTCGGCTTCAACACTTGTAGAACTAGAGACAAGACTACAAGAAACACAGGAAATATATATTTCATATTTTACGATATACATTTTTATTTAGTGATAGCAAATATATCTCCATTAAGACTGAATATTAAATACACATTATAGACTTTCAGATATACGAAAAATTATTATTATAGTCATAAAAAAACGTTAAAATGGTGCACATATAAGAAGAAAGACGATGAATTAGAGTTTGACGTACAAAGAATAAACAAAATACATATATTATGTATTACACTCCAAATATTAACCGTAAATCACAGGATAGTCATTATCAATAAATTAACCACATGACACTGTCACACTTGTTTTTTCACAGCAATATTAATGAAAGCACCGTGTTGTTGATGTTAGTTATTGAATAAAAAGAGTTAAACTGTAGGGAGCACTTGTGACAGTTAAACTGTAGGGAGCACTTGTGACAGTTAAACTGTAGGGAGCACTTGTGACAGTTAAACTGTAGGGAGCACTTGTGACAGTTAAACTGTAGGGAGCACTTGTGACAGTTAAACTGTAGGGAGCACTTGTGACAGTTAAACTGTAGGGAGCACTTGTGACAGTTAAACTGTAGGGAGCACTTGTGACAGTTAAACTGTAGGGAGCACTTGTGACAGTTAAACTGTAGGGAGCACTTGTGACAGTTAAACTGTAGGGAGCACTTGTGACAGTTAAACTGTAGGGAGCACTTGTGACAGTTAAACTGTAGGGAACACTTGTGACAGTTAAACTGTAGGGAGCACTTGTGACAGTAAACTGTAGGGAGCACTTGTGACAGTTAAACTGTAGGGAGCACTTGTGACAGTTAAACTGTAGGGCACTTGTGACAGTGTAAACTGTAGGGACACTTGTGACAGTTAAACTGTAGGGAGCACTTGTAAGTTAACTATAACTTACATTACCTTAACAGTAGTCCTCTGAGGGTACATTGTACTTCCAACCACTACAGTGCACTTTGAGAGTACAATTAGACTTACCATACACTACAGGGGCCTCTGAGAGGTACATAACTTACCATACCACTACAGTGCCTCTGAGAGGTACATAACTTACCATACCACTACAGTGCCTCTGAGAGGTACATAACTTACCATACCACTACAGTGCTACTGATGGTAACAACTTCCGATTACCACTACGAGCACTCTGATGTACATTAACTTACCTGTGACACTAAATGTAGGGACACTCTGTGAGGTACAACTTAATACCACTACAGTGCACTTGAGATGTGACATAACTTACATACCACTTACAGTCCTCTGTAGAGGATACATTAAACTTACCATACACTACAGTGCCTCTGAGGGACACTTACAGTTAAACTGAGGGCTGGACTGGACATAACTGTACATCACTTACAGTTGCCTCTGAGGAGAGTACATAAACTTACCATACCACTACAGTGCACGTAAACTGAGGAGCTTGTACATAAACTGTAGAACCACTACAGTGCCTCTGAGGGTACAAACTTACCTACCATAACAGTGGGCACTCTGAAGTACACTGAGGAACTGTACATTACAACTATCAGGTGCACTTGGAAGTGTAAACATAACTTGTACCAGTACCACTGAAGTGCACTTGTGAAGTAATAACTTACGATACACTACTGTGACTTAACTGTAGGGACATTGGACAGTTAACCTAGAGCCACTTGACAGTCCTCTGAGAGGGTACATAATTACAACTTACCACTACAGTGCCTACTGTAGGAGCCTGTACATTAAACTGTACACATACATTACAGTGCCTTGTAGAGAGTAAACTGTAGTACACTTGAAAGTTAGAGTTAACACTCTATGATTAACAGTGCCTCTGAGTGGTACATAACTTACCATACCACTACAGTGCCTCTGAGTGGTACATAACTTACCATACCACTACAGTGCCTCTGAGTGGTACATAACTTACCATACCACTACAGTGCCTCTGAGTGGTACATAACTTACCATACCACTACAGTGCCTCTGAGAGGTACATAACTTACCATACCACTACAGTGCCTCTGAGTGGTACATAACTTACCATACCACTACAGTGCCTCTGAGAGGTACATAACTTACCATACCACTACAGTGCCTCTGAGTGGTACATAACTTACCATACCACTACAGTGCCTCTGAGTGGTACATAACTTACCATACCACTACAGTGCCTCTGAGTGGTACATAACTTACCATACCACTACAGTGCCTCTGAGTGGTACATAACTTACCATACCACTACAGTGCCTCTAGTGGTACATACTTACCATACCACTACAGTGCCTCTGAGTGGTACATAACTTACCATACCACTACAGTGCCTCTGAGTGGTACATAACTTACCATACCACTACAGTGCCTCTGAGTGGTACATAACTTACCATACCACTACAGTGCCTCTGAGGGTACATAACTTACCATACCACTACAGTGCCTCTGAGTGGTACATAACTTACCATACCACTACAGTGCCTCTGAGTGGTACATAACTTACCATACCACTACAGTGCCTCTGAGTGGTACATAACTTACCATACCACTACAGTGCCTCTGAGTGGTACATGAACTTACCATACCACTACAGTGCCTCTGAGTGGTACATGACTTACCATACCATTAGTCAGCATAATTAGCCTCGCAATCCTAACATTTCTCTTTGAAGTCGTTTAAACACAATAAAAACTTGATCACAAAAAAATACTTTGTCTCTTATAGTTCGAGGTTTACCACACTGGTAGCTGTTCTCTGCTATATGACTTACACATTATAAGTAATTCCTCAGTAATATTCCTCCACAAGCCATCATTAAGCAATCTTTAAATCTACTTCATATATCACGAACATTCATGAGTGAGAAAAATCATGTACGTGTGGATGTTTGTTGTGGCTAGGCTTGGTAACATCTTTAACATGTTAACATCAATAAACCCTGGTAATATATGTGATGCACTTGTAAATATGAAACTAGAGTTGCTGCTCGTCTTGACACCAGATATTATTAAGGATCTATGTATATATTAAAAAAACCGTATAGGAACATAATTTTATAATAGTTTTCCACAGGTATTTCATCTGTGGTGAGAGACTTCCGTTTTTACGTAATTGCAAAACCTGGCAGCGATACACTGTAACCCAGACGACTGGTATTTCAACACGTGACAATGAAACTTCAGCTTCAATATGTCTAGGACTGATATTTATTGATTCGTGCAGATCATGAAAAAACTACAAGGGCAATTTTTCACTTGTCCTGCTAAAATGACTGAACACTAAAATTGTGAAGTAAAAAGTATTAAAACTATTGATAAGCACGTAGTATATTCTGGTCCACCATGTTTATTATTTAGTTTTAAGATGCTTTTTCTGAGCCGTCATGACGTGTTGTATAAGGCGGTGTGGTGATGAGTAGATGGCCTCAGCCAGGGTGCTGGTGGCGGGACGCAAGGCCAAGATCCTCTCTGCAGCCATTACCACTACCTGTATTAACTGCACAGGCGCGTTGTCGTGCAGGAAGCCAGCCATCACACCTGTATCACTCCTCACAAAGTGGTCCTTGGTATCCTGACTTCCTGACGAAGTATTTTTGTCTGCTGAGCTTGTGTGTGAGGCAGCAGTATTAGCTGCCACAGAGTAGTAACGATTGACGGTGATGTTTGGAGTAGCTTTGTTCACAGTTCCACTATGTAGTGGTACATTAAAAAAGTCAGTAAAATGTGATTCAGCTCCAGAGAGTGGCCACTCAGCCTCTGGACAGGGATCTAGCTGCTCCCACTGCGTCTCCCACTGGAAGGCTCTCACTGCTACTCGTCCCTCTCCCCCACCACCCATCACTCCCCACGCCACACTCACACCTCCTGCCAGGGTGCGAGACAACAGTCGCAGCAGTGTAGGAGAGTAGAGGTGCTTGAGAGAGCGCAGAGTATTAACAGGACTACACGGTGGTACATTGCCCTCAGGTTGGGAACGCAGGTGACACGTAATGAGTGCAAAGATGATTTGTCCCACATGATGTATAAAGCATCTCTCCGAGGGTCCAGCAGCTGTAGCCCTCTGGTGTCCAGCCGACCCTCGCCACGCCTCGCATCCACACCCAGTCATCCTGTAAACACACGATTTCACATTAACATACATGGAAACAAACCAAGTTAAATCTTTTTTATACCCATGAATAGCACCAATTAACAAGGTTAAATGAATTGCAAGACAAAAAAAAAAAACTTATTGTGATAGACATTTGAAATGATAGCATAGAACTTGTAACATTAAAAAAAAGTAAAAATACTTTAAGTATAGCAAAGAAATTTATTTTAAGATTGACATACATTAAAGCAATGACACTAACGCCTCCTATCACAGTGACAGTAAAATAGTTTTTGGCCCTGATGCCATGAGTGTTGAGTCATGTATGTTTTACAGAGCATACATAACGTTACAGTGCCAAGGTGCTCAGATAAATCAGAATCACTAGACTAATAATATTACAGAAACACCCTCGGTATGTTATGTATTTGTTTATTACAAGATGATCCTAACCTCCAACGTGTCCTCACTTAACTCCTAACACCAGGGTCCCAGTCTCAGCTTTGCTACTCGCTAAAAACGCCAAATGTCAAGATCCCATTCCTAATTATCTTAGTCTCTCTCCCACCAGGATATCCTGTCAGTTTAATATCTTTATTATGCACCCCATACCCATCCTGTGGGCGGTAGTCAAAAGATTACAGAGGTACATAATGGGTCCAGAGACTGGACCCCAAAGTTATGATAGCTGAACTATTTACAAAGGTAATGAACTCCAGGTAGATCTGGTCACAATCATGGAAAGTTACAAAGGTAATAAATCATCCTCACTCCTCACATGAACAAATTACAAAGTAATGAGCCACTGACACGTCCATACCTGGTCACAATTGTAATGAGTTATACATACAAATATTAGGTGGGTCATACACCCGCATGAGCGCGCGCGCGCACACACACACACACACACACACACGAGCGTACAAACATATACATACACACATGCACACCTCAGAGGATGCAGTGGGAGACACAATGGGAAGAGGAAAGGGCGAGATCAGTTTTTGTCTAAGGGCTCCAGGAAGTTGAAGGGGAAACTTATGATGAAAGGAAACAGGAGGAGAAAAAAGTGATTGAAGGTATCATGAAAGCAATAGGCAAGGGCGACGACCCAGGTGGCAAATTTTCAGAGAATTGGGTGGTTTGCAAGGGGACGGAAACGGCCTCTCAAAGTAATTTTCAAGGCAGAATCAACTCGAACCATGATTCTGCAGGAGAAAGCACGACTGAGAGACAAACAAGAGTACCAGAGTGTACTTCGATCGAGACAGAACATAAGAGGAAAGGTTGATACTGAAAGAGTACAAAAACGAAAGGAGGAACGAGAGGAAATGACAAAGATGAGCAGAAGAACCTAGATACAGGTGGAACGGCAAACACTCGCAGAGGGACTCCAACAGTGACAACCCCAAGACAACTGAGCAATCTAAACCGACACTCACACACTGATCCCTCTGCCCCCACCCCAACACCACAAACCCCACCCATACAGCAACACCCTATGGGAACTCTGCCCCCATCTCCATCGCAACTCCCCCATAGCCCCCTGCCAGGGCTCCCGATCCCCCAACCCCAATCTTCTCCCAGGATCAGTATTAGAAAAGAAGTTGAAGGTTTGGTACACAAACGCAGATGGAATAACGAATAAATATGAGGAGTGGCATGAAAGAATCAATGAGAAGTCCCCAGACATCATAGCAGTCACAGAAACGAAACTCAATGAGACAATAACAGACACAATCTTCCCACCAGGATAACAGATCCTGAGGAAAGATAGAAGGAACAGAGGGGGAGGAGGGGTTGCACTGCTCATAAAAGGCCGATGGAGATTTGAGGAAACGGAAGGCATGGACGAGATTGGAGGAAGGGACTACATAGTAGGTACACTTCAGTCTGGGGAACATAAGGTAGTCATTGCAGTGATGTATAATCCACCACAGAACTGCACGAGGCCAAGAGAGGAATACCAAGAGAGCAACAGAACAATGGTGGGCACACTGGTTGAGGTGGCAAGGTCTCACTCGAGCAGGCAAAGTTACTGGTTATGGGCGATTTCAACCCCGGAGATGAACTGGGAGAACCTGGAGCCACACGGGAATCTCGAGACATGGAGAGCCAAGATGATGGATGTGGTACTGGAAAAACCTTATGCATCAATATGTTTAGGACGCTACCAGAGAGAGAGAGGGGAGGATGAACCAGCAAGACTGGACCTTGTGTTCACCCTGAGCAGTTCAGACATTGAGGACATCACATATGAGAGGCCCCTTGGAGCTAGTGATCACATGGTTCTGTGTTTTGAATACATAGTAGAATTACAAGTAGAGAGGGCAACAGGAGTTGGATGGGAAAATTCAAACTATAAAAAGGGAGACTACACAGGTATGAGGAGGTTCAGTGGGACAGAGAACTGGCAGGAAAGTTAGTAAATGAAATTACCTGGAGTTTACCTGGAGAGAGTTTCGGGGGTCAACGCCCCCGCGGCCCGGTCTGTGACCAGGCCTCCTGGTGGATCAGCGCCTGATCAACCAGGCTGTTGCTGCTGGCTGCACGCAAACCAACGTACGAGCCACAGCTCGGCTGATCAGGAACTGACTTTAGGTGCTTGTCCAGTGCCAGCTTGAAGACTGCCAGGGGTCTGTTGGTAATCCCCCTTATGTGTGCTGGGAGGCAGTTGAACAGTCTCGGGCCCCTGACACTTATTGTATGGTCTCTTAACGTGCTAGTGACACCCCTGCTTTTCATTGGGGGGATGGTGCATCGTCTGCCAAGTCTTTTGCTTTCGTAGTGAGTGATTTTCGTGTGCAAGTTCGGTACTAGTCCCTCTAGGATTTTCCAGGTGTATATAATCATGTATCTCTCCCTCCTGCGTTCCAGGGAATACAGGTTTAGAAACCTCAAGCGCTCCCAGTAATTGAGGTGTTTATCTCCGTTATGCGCGCCGTGAAAGTTCTCTGTACATTTTCTAGGTCGGCAATTTCACCTGCCTTGAAAGGTGCTGTTAGAGTGCAGCAATATTCCAGCCTAGATAGAACAAGTGACCTGAAGAGTGTCATCATGGGCTTGGCCTCCCTAGTTTTGAAGGTTCTCATTATCCATCCTGTCATTTTTCTAGCAGATGCGATTGATACAATGTTATGGTCCTTGAAGGTGAGATCCTCCGACATAATCACTCCCAGGTCTTTGACGTTGGTGTTTCGCTCTATTTTGTGGCCAGAATTTGTTTTGTACTCTGATGAAGATTTAATTTCCTCATGTTTACCATATCTGAGTAATTGAAATTTCTCATCGTTGAACTTCATATTGTTTTCTGCAGCCCACTGAAAGATTTGGTTGATGTCCGCCTGGAGCCTTGCAGTGTCTGCAATGGAAGACACTGTCATGCAGATTCGGGTGTCATCTGCAAAGGAAGACACGGTGCTGTGGCTGACATCCTTGTCTATGTCGGATATGAGGATGAGAACAAGATGGGAGCTAGTACTGTGCCTTGTGGAACAGAGCTTTTCACCATAGCTGCCTCGGACTTTACTCTGTTGACGACTACTCTCTGTGTTCTGTTAGTGAGGAAATTATAGATCCATCGACCGACTTTTCCTGTTATTCCTTTAGCACGCATTTTGTGCGCTATTACGCCATGGTCACACTTGTCGAAGGCTTTTGCAAAGTCTGTATATATTACATCTGCATTCTTTTTGTCTTCTAGTGCATTTAGGACCTTGTAGTGATCCAATAGTTGAGACAGACAGGGGCGACCTGTTCTAAACCCATGTTGCCCTGGGTTGTGTAACTGATGGGTTTCTAGATGGGTGGTGATCTTGCTTCTTAGGACCCTTTCAAAGATTTTTATGATATGGGATGTTAGTGCTATTGGTCTGTAGTTCTTTGCTGTTGCTTTACTGCCCCCTTTGTGGAGTGGGGCTATGTCTGTTGTTTTTAGTAACTGAGGGACGACCCCCGTGTCCATGCTTCCTCTCCGTAGGATGGAAAAGGCTCGTGATAGGGGCTTCTTGCAGTTCTTGATGAACACAGAGTTCCATGAGTCTGGTCCTGGGGCAGAGTGCATGGGCATGTCATTTATCGCCTGTTCGAAGTCATTTGGCGTCAGGATAACATCGGATAGGCTTGTGTTAATCAAATTTTGTGGCTCTCTCATAAAAAATTCATTTTGATCTTCGACTCTCAGTCTGGTTAGCGGCTTGCTAAAAACTGAGTCATATTGGGACTTGAGTAGCTCACTCATTTCCTTGCTGTCATCTGTGTTGGACCCATCTTGTTTAAGTAGGGGCCCAATACTGGACGTTGTTCTCGATTTTGATTTGGCATAGGAAAAGAAATACTTTGGGTTTCTTTCGATTTCATTTATGGCTTTTAGTTCTTCCCGCGATTCCTGACTCCTAAAGGATTCTTTTAGCTTAAGTTCGATGCTTGCTATTTCTCTGACCAGTGTCTCCTACGCATTTCAGATATATTGACCTCTTTTAGCCGCTCTGTTATTCTTTTCCGTCGCCTGTAAAGGGAGCGCCTGTCTCTTTCTATTTTACATCTACTCCTCCTTTTTCTTAGAGGAATAAGCCTTGTGCATACATCGAGTGCCACCGAGTTAATCTGTTCTAGACATAAGTTGGGGTCTGTGTTGCTTAGTATATCTTCCCAGCTTATATCGGTTAGGACTTGGTTTACTTGGTCCCACTTTATGTTTTTGTTATTGAAGTTGAATTTGGTGAATGCTCCCTCGTGACTAGTCTCATTTTGTCGGTCTGGGGCTCCACGCATACATGTCTGAACCTCAATTATGTTGTGATCTGAGTATATTGTTTTTGATATGGTGACATTTCTTATCAGATCATCATTGTTAGTGAAGATGAGGTCTAGTGTATTCTCCAGTCTAGTAGGCTCTATTATTTGCTGGTTTAAATTGAATTTTGTGCAGAGATTTAAAAGCTCGTGTGAGTGAGAGTTTTCATCACACTCACACGAGCTTTTAAATCTCTGCACAAAATTCAATTTAAACCAGCAAATAATAGAAAACGTAACAACAGAATGCAGGGAGGCAGAGGAAAGGTTTCCAAGGGCAATAGAAATAATGGGAAGGCCAAAGCGAGTCCTTGGTTTACCTGAAGGTGTAGGGAGACAAAAACTAAGTGCAACAGAGAATGGAAAATATACAGGAGGCAAAGGACCCAGGAAAATAGAGAGACTAATCGAAGAGCCAGAAACGAGTGTGCACAGATAAGGAGGGAGGCCCAGCGACAGTACGAAAACGACATAGCATCGAAAGCCAAGTCTGACCCAAAACTGCTGAATAGCCACATTAGGAGGAAGACAACAGTCAAAGACCAGGTGGTCAAGCTGAGGAAAGAAGGTGGGGAACTCACCAGAAGCGGTCAAGAGGTATGTGAGGAGCTCAACAAGAGATTTAAGGAAGTATTTATAGTGGAGACAGGAAGGCCTCTGGGTGGACAGAACAGAGGAGGACGCCAACAAGGAATTTACCAACAAGTGTTAGATGACATACACACAACTGAGGAGGAGGTGAATAAGCTGCTAAGGGACCTTGATGCCTCAAAGGCAATGGGACCAGACATCTCCCCATGGGTCCTTAGAGAGGGAGCAGAAATGCTGTGTGTGCCACTAACCACAATCTTCAATACATCCCTTGAAACTGGGCAACTACCTAAGGTATGGAAGACAGCAAATATAGTAGCCATATTTAAAAAGGGGACAGAAAAGAGGCAATAAACTATAGACCAGTGTCACTGACGTGCATAGTATGCAAAGTAATGGAGAAGATTATCAGGAGGAGAGTGGTGGAGCACCTTGAATGGAACAAGAGTATACACGCCAACCAGCACCGTTTTATGGAAGGCAAATCCTGTGTCATAAACCTACTGGAGTTTTATGATAAAGTAACAGAAGACGCGAGAGAGAGGGGTGGGTTGATTGCATCTTCTTGGACTGCAAGAAGGCCTTCGACACAGTTCCTCACAGGAGACTGGTGCAGAAGCTAGAGGATCAGGCACATATAACAGGGAGCTGCAATGGATCAGAGAATACCTGACAGGGAGGCAACAACGAGTCATGGTACGTGATGAGGTATCACAGTGGGCACCTGTGATGAGCGGGGTCCCACAGGGGTCGGTCCTAGGACCAGTGCTATATCTGGTAAATGTGAATGACATGATGGAAGGGTTAGACTCAGAAGTGTCCCTGTTCGCAGATGATTTGAAGTTAATGAGGAGAATTAAATCAAATGAGGATCAGATAGGACTCCAAAGAGACCTGGACAGGCTGGACACCTGGTCCAGCAACTGTCTTCTCGAATTTAACCCCACCAAATGCAAAGTCATGAAGATCGGGGAAGGGCAAAGAAGACCGCAGAACGGAGTATAGGCTAGGTGGCCAAAGACTGCAAACCTCGCTCGAGGAGAAAGATCTTGAGGCGAGTATAAAACCGAGCACGTCTCCGGAAGCACAAATCAACCACATAACTCCTGCAGCATATGGGCGCCTGGCAAACCTGAGAATAGCGTTCCGATACCTTAGTAAGGAGTCGTTCAAGACACTGTACACCGTGTACGTCAGGCCCATATTGGAGTATGCAGCACCTGTTTGGAACCCACACTTGATCAAGCACGTCAAGAAATTAGAGAAAGTGCAAAGGTTTGCGACGAGGTTAGTTCCAGAGCTAAGGGAAATATCCTACGAAGAAAGGTTGAGGGAAATCGACCTGATGACACTGCAGGACAGGAGGGTTAGGGGAGACATGATAACATACAAAATACTGCGTGGAATAGACAAGTAGACAGAGACAGGATTTTCCAGGGAGGGGACACAGAAACAAGGGGCCACAATTAGAAGTTGAAGATCCGGATGAGTCAAAGGGATGTTAGGAAGTATTTCTTCAGTCATAGAATAGTCAGGAAGCTGAATAGCCTAGCAAGTGAGGTAGTGGAGGCAGGAACCATACATTGCTTTAAGATGAGGTATGATAAAGCTCATGGAGCAGGGAGAGAGAGGACCTAGTAGCACTCAGTGAAGAGGCAGGGCCAGGAGTCTGAGTCTCGACCCCTGCAACGACAATTAGGTGAGTACACACACACATAAACCCGTGGTAATGCTTTATTTACAGCTAGCAAAGTCAGGGTATTTCGCCAGAATGGTCTGTAATATACCACTGTGGATAAAATACTTTGCCATTTTGTCAGCAGTGGGAATCTTGATACTGGATAAGGAATGAGTCGAACCTGATTACCTCCCATTCCCGAGGTGAGTAACTACTACGTGCTTAGAGCTTCCCCACGAATAATAAAATGATTAATCGGTATCCCATCAGGATTCGAGCCTACTCTCATAAGGATCCGTTACAATAATCTCACTTTACTACCCACAGGATGCTCTCTTCTCTAGGTCCTAAATCTTGAGAACCACGATGTGTGGGAGCTAACAGTGGTGTCAGCTCCCTCTCACCTGTGCTTCCTGGAGAGCATGTTCTCGAGGGCCAACCTGTCCCTCAGCAAGAAGATGTTGTCTAGGGCGAGGGGTGTGTAGGGCAGACCCGCCTCGACCATATGCAGCAGCGCCGAGCTCACTTGGTACACCACAGTCCACACCAGCTCCTCCGGCACTGAACATCCGCACGCCGTCAGCCGCGTCTGAGGACATGACGGAGCGTTATATACAGCAATCTCATCTGCACGTCACTCCAACTTCCCGGGGGAAAATAGAGGCGTCACACTAGGGAACGAGGTAAAATAAAGGGTTGTAACTTCATTTAATATAATTAACAGCTATGCTTGACAATTCGCAAACAGGCGAAATTTACAAACATTATCTCTACGTCCACAGCAGCTATATAATTCGTAAACATCTCATGGTATGAAATAAAAGAAGTGGTACTCGCTGGTTCAAGCAAAGGACCACCAGGTCTGGCGGTGACTCTTCCTCGAGAACGAGGTAACACTTTCCTTCAGAGTTATTTTTTTCGCAGATTCATAAAGCTCTACGTCTTTCCTACAGACCAGTGTCACTGACATATATAGTACGTAAAGCTATGAAGAAGATTTACAGGAGAAGAGTAGTGGAGCACCTAGGAAGGAGTAATTGCCTTCCACTTCCCAGGTGATATATAACTCCTACATGAATATAATAAAAAAAAAAAAAACCAAGAACCATTCTTGTTATACTGTTAAGGTTGTTGGAGATTCCAAATTTATTTACTGGAGTTCAGACTGATATATTGGTCATAAATGAGAGCAGTGTTCCAGATCAGCTTGGTTCCTTCTGTAAGATAAGAAAGGTGAAGAACTCCATTATCTAAATTAAGCTCTTAGTATTTTGTTCTCTCATTGTGAGTGCAATAGAGGTAAAAATCTTAAGTTTCAAGTGACTTACGAATGTTAAATCTTGGAAAAACAACATTTTCATATCCAACTTTTCACTACAAAGTCATGCAATAGAGAAAAAATAAATGGTCTAGACGTCTAATATATCAGTCAAAAACCAAATAATGTTCATTAAACACTAACAGATTATGCTATAAAGCTATTAATTGTTTTGGGATACTCCTATCACTAATCACATGTTTTAAAAATTTTTTTTTCGTTATGTAATAATCATAATTCACATAGGCTAGGCTACAACTGTCTATGCAGTGTATTAAACTACCTTCCTTAGTTCTAAAGTCACACTGGATTCCAAATTTGGAAACTGAAAACTTGAAACCCGTTTTCCTAGCCGTTTTTTAAATGGATGATTGCCTTGGTCTCCCCCGGTTCTGAATCCAGTTGTTGAGTATCAGCAAGCTAGTTTTTGCCGTCTTGATTTTCATGAACACAGCTCATCGATAGCTCTGTAAATTTGTAAATTGTTATGAAATAATTTCCTGAGTACATCGCTTGCAGCTACCTCTCATGAGTACATCTGCTGCTACATCTCATGAGTACATCGCCTGCTGCTACCTTTCATGAGTACATCACCTTCATCCACCTTACCTAATTACCTCACCTTTGCCTTACCTGGATCTGGTCGAGGGTTGCGATGGGAGTGTCGAGGAGGTAGAAAGCATTACTTGTTACGTCGTCATAAACGACTCCCCACACGCTCATGATGTGAGGGTGATCTACCCAGAACCAGGCGTCGGCTGACCATCCCAGCCAGTGCCACCCTCCCTGTACATACGGGAAGAAGAATGTCATCAGGAGTAAGCAGTGCCACCCTCCCAGCGCGCGCGCACACACACACACACATGCACCACACACAAACACACACACACACAAACACACAACGTGTATAGTATGCAAGGTCATGGAGAAGATCATCAGGAGGAGAGTGGTGGGGCACCTGGAAAGAAACAAGTGTATAATTGACAACCAGCACGGTTTCAGGGAAGGAAAATCCTGTGTCACAAACCTACTAGAGTTTTATGACAAGGTGACAGAAGTAAGACAAGAGAGAGAGGGGTGGATCGACTGCGTATTTTTGGACTGCAAGAAGGCCTTCGACACAGTTCCTCACAAGAGGTTACTGCAAAAGCTAGAGGACCAGGCACACATAACAGGAAAGGCACTGCAATGGATCAGAGAATATCTGACAGGGAGGCAACAACGAGTCATGGTACGCGACGAGGTGTCAGAGTGGGCGCCTGTGACAAGCGGGGTTCCACAGGGGTCAGTCCTAGGACCTGTGCTGTTCTTGGTATACGTGAACGACATAACGTAAGGGATAGACTCAGAAGTGTCCTTGTTTGCAGATGATGTGAAGTTAATGAGAAGAATCGAATCGGACGAGGATCAGGCAGGACTACAAAGAGACCTGGACAGGCTACAAGCCTGGTCCAGCAACTGGCTCCTTGAATTTAACCCTGCCAAATGCAAAGTCATGAAGATTGGGGAAGGGCAAAGAAGACCGCAGACACAATGTAGTTTAGATGGCCAAAGACTGCAAACCTCACTCAAGGAAAAAGATCTGGGGGTGAGTATAACACCGAGCATATCTCCTGAGGCGCACATCAATCAGATAACTACTGCAGCATACGGGCGCCTGGCAAACCTACGGATAGCGTTCCGATACCTCAGTAAGGATTCGTTTAAGACTCTGTACACCATCTACGTCAGGCCCATACTGGAGTATGCAGCACCAGTTTGGAATCCACACCTAGTCAAGCACGTCAAGAAATTAGAGAAAGTGCAAAGGTTTGCAACAAGACTAGTCCCAGAGCTACGGGGATTGTCCTATGAAGAAAGGTTGAGGGAAATCGGCCTGACGACACTGGAGGCCAGGAGGGTCAGGGGAGACATGATAACGACATATAAAATACTGCGCGGAATAGACGAGGTGGACAAAGACGGGATGTTCCAGAGATGGGACACAGACACAAGAGGTCACAATTGGAAGTTGAAGACTCAGATGAATCAAAGGGATGTTAGGAAGTATTTCTTCAGTCATAGAGTAGTCAGGCCATGGAATAGCCTAGAAAGTGATGTAGTGGAGGCAGGAACCATACATAGTTTTAAGGCGAGGTATGATAGAGCTCATGGGGCAGGGAGAGAGGGACCTAGTAGCATTCAGCGAAGAGGCGGGGCCAGGAGCTGTGAATCGACCCCTGCAACCACAAATAGGTGAGTACACACACACACACACACACACACACACACACACACACCGTCGTTGGGAACCTCAACAAAACGATTCCTTATGCAGGTGGAGTAGGTTTATCAAGCCAGAAGCTTTATGAAGCTCCCTGCGGGTAAAACGATGCCTAAACAAAATATTCAAACATAGCAAGTATGACTATGCATGGTTTTCAAAGTTAAATGTTGCGTGCATCAGTTCTACTGGAAGTGTTCTCCATGGCTTTTCTTCTACACCGTCAGTGGTCATGTGTCCAGCTCACTACAGTACACTCACTACGACAATATACTCACTAGCTAGTCTCCTACGAAAAAGATGACTACGTCAACAATGGTCGTGTGTCCAGCTCACTACAGTGCACTCACCACCTGCTGAAGGTCTTGTACCACCAAATAATGTTTGCTTCTTATAGTCTAAACACTTAAGAGTCAAGTACAGTTATGTTAAGTCACACACGCCCTATGATACCACTCTGCTCTTCCTTTTAATTATAATTATTCTTAGATATAATTGAAATACAGCCGATAAAGCACTGTAGAAAATAAGTATTCCTTCTAAGTGTAGTAACTTGTATTTCAAATTAGTGAGAACTATTACTAAATCTAATTACTACCTAACTCGTGCCTATAATTTGTGTTGATAAATTGCTTTTGGTCAGTGAGTCTTCCATTCATCTGTTGAGTCACTCTTACCCCTGCATGAGACAGTATTACCATAACTCATCACAGTGAGTTAATAAACGAGGCAGTATTATCATAACTCATCACAGTCAACCTGACTAACTAATCTTTCGGCAGAGTCGATGCCCAACACAGTACGAGTTATAGTTACTGGGAGATATAAGGCGCTAATACAACCTCCTTTGAGCCGAGTTGTGAAGAGAGATTATGGGTGCTGAAGAAACTCCCCAGACTCCACGCAACTGGTTTGTTTTTGATGTAGTAATGAGAGACGGAGAGTGAAAGTGTGCTTCTGTGTTTGTGTTTTGGCATCCAACAAGAACTGGCCCGTAGCCCACTGCGTTGGCGTCATTCACAGTCAGCCAGATCACTCTTGCTCCCACCCCCACTTCTCCCCACCAACACATCAACAACACCAGAATGCAACAACACCAGCATGCAACAACAACAACACGCAACATCACCAACACCACCACAACACTATACCTCCACTACATTAGTAGCCTTCATAGCCTTCCCCCACTCTCCCCCACATACACACCTGTTATCTCGGCCCACGTACACGAGTTACTCCTGCCCACATACACGTGTTATTTCTGCTCACATACACGTGTTATTCCTACCCACATACACGTGTTATCACTACTCACATGCACGTGTTATCACTGCCCACATGTGTTATCATTACCCACATGCACATGTTATCACTACCCACATACACATGTTATCACTTCGTACATACACATGTTATCACTACATGTGTTATCACTACCCACATACACGTGTTATCGCTACCCACATACACGTGCTATCACTACCCACATACACGTGCTATCACTACCCACATACACGTGTTGTCACTGCCCACATACACGTGTTATCACTACCCACATACACGTGTTATCACTGCCCACATACACATGTTATCACTACATGTGTTATCACTACCCACGTACACATGTTATCACTACATGTGTTATCACTGCCCACACACACGTGTTATCACTACCTACATGCACGTGTTATCACTGCCCACATACACGTGTTATCACTACCCACATACACGTGTTATCACAGCCCACATACACATGTTATCACTGCCCACATACACATGTTATCACTGCCCACATACACATGTTATCACTGCCCACATACACATGTTATCACTGCCCACATACACATGTTATCACTACATGTGTTATCACTACCTACATACACATGTTATCACTACATGTATTATCACTACCCACATACACGTGTTATCACTACCCACATACACGTGCTATCACTGCCCACATACACATGTTATCACTGCCCACATACACATGTTATCACTACATGTGTTATCACTACCTACATACACATGTTATCACTACCTACATACACATGTTATCACTACCTACAAACACATGTTATCACTACATGTGTTATCGGTACCCACATACACATGTTATCACTACCTACATACACATGTTATCACTACCTACATACACATGTTATCACTACATGTGTTATCGCTACCCACATACACGTGTTATCACTACCTACATACACATGTTATCACTACATGTGTTATCACTACCTACATACACATGTTATCACTACCTACATACACATGTTATCACTACCTACATACACATGTTATCACTACCTACATACACATGTTATCACTACCTACATACACATGTTATCACTACATGTGTTATCGCTACCCACATACACGTGTTATCACTACCTACATACACGTGTTATCACTGCCCACATACACGTTTCATTGACAACTGGGACCTCTTCTATGGCAGGAATGACATGTATGCCAGGGATGGGGTTCACTTATCTAGGTCTGGGGTGGTAGCACTGGCAACTGCAGTGGAGGGAGCAGTTAGGACTTTAAACTAGGAATACTTAGTGGTATGGGTTTTGGCAGGAAAACAGTGAAGTCCCAGTGTAGTAATATTACGAGTTCTAGGGGAACTAGTAATAAGCAGAACGAGGTAGATATTGAAAAGCCAGGGACTTTGGGTGATAAGGACGGTAATGGGTTTAGTAGAAAAACAGAAATGAGCAGGAAGAGTAAAGAGAAAGGAGAGTCTTTCAATGTTTATTATGCTAATTGTCGTAGTGCTAGGAATAAGATGGACGAGTTGAGATTAGTTACTAGTGCAGGTAACATTGATGTATTTGCCTTAACTGAGACGTGGTTTAATTCAAAAAGTCGGGACATGCCTGCGGAATGTCATATTCAGGGTTTTAAATTGTTCCAAGTAGATAGAAGTATCGGGAAGGGGGGTGGGGTGGCATTGTATGTCCGAGATCGCTTGAACTGTTGCATAAAAACGGGTATTAAGTCTGAAGTAACACATACAGAGTCTGTTTGGATAGAATTTTCAGAGGGGCATGAAAAACTGATTTTAGGAGTGATATACCGTCCCCCAAACTTAGATAGGGACCAAGGAAGACTACTATGGGAGGAAATTGTTAAGGCCACAAGGCACGATAATGTAGTAATTCTAGGAGACTAACTTTAGTCATATTGATTGGAATTTCTTGACTGGGAATTTAGAATCATACGACTTCTTAGAAGTAGTTCAGGATTGTTTTTTGAAGCAGTTTGTGACAGAACCTACAAGGGGAAATAACCTGCTTGACTTAGTTATGGCAAACAATGAATCCCTTGTTAATAATTTAGAAATTTCAGAGGAACTGGGTGCTAGCGACCACAAATCAATTACATTTAGCATTGAATGGAAGTACGATAGTAGCGATAACTCAGTAACAGTCCCAGATTTTCGCTTAGCAGATTACGATGGGCTTAGAGAACACTTATCATCTGTTGACTGGGGATAACGAAGTGAGCT